AATGAACAGCAGACACTGCTGCGCGTCAGCAGTACATGACCTACCAATTTCCTATAGAGGTGTTCCATTTCTGGACTATTTTGCTACAATAGCTGCCCACCTTCGCGCCCGTTGGTAACAACATTGGTCAACTCTGCTTGGTAACAAACTTCATTCTATTAAACCGAGCATAGGTTACTGGCCATCTTCTTGTCATCAGTGCCGTGGTTGGGAGACCACTCTCTCCCGTCTTCGCATTGGCCACACTCGTCTTATGGGTATCTCATGGAGAGGCACCCTGTACCTCTCTGTGAGCAGTGTCAAGTTCCAGTATCGATTAGCCACATTCTGTTAGACTGCCCTCTCTTTCAACGAGCATGCAGAATCTACCTCCAATGCCATCTTCGTTCTACTACTCTCTCTTTACCTTCCCTTCTTGCTGATGGACCCTCCTTTGATCCTGACTCTCTCATTGACTTCTTGACAACGACTGATTTACTCCACAAACTCTGATGATGATACCTTATGCACTCCCCTCAGCCCTTTCTAGCTCAGTCTCTTGCTTCCCTTTACCCCTTCACCATCCACTGCTCCACTGTTATCCGTAACCTATTACTCATCCACCTCCCTTTTGCCACCTGATGCCCTCGCTTCCTTCCTGCCCTGCAGCGCTGTATAGCCCTTGTGGCTTAGCGCTTCTTTTTGATTATAATAATAATTTAGAATGGGTAGGGGATGTGCAGATAGTGTTTACATTGGAGCATATATGTGAACAGTATTTAGATAAAGGTAATGAAGTTTTCATCGCATTTATGGATTTAGAAAAGGCATATGGTAGTGGATAGGGGAGCAATGTGGCAGATGGTGCAAGTGTATGGAATAGGTAGGTAGTTATTAAATGCTGTGTTTACCCCTCAAGGAAGGTTCCTTGATGTTGGTGAGGGGCTCTTGATTTAGGGAATTGGATCTGTGCTCCAGTTCCCCAAATTAAGCCTGAATGCCTTCCACATCCCCCCCCCCAGGCGCTGTATAATCCTCCGGGTTTAGCGCTTCCCCCTTGATTATAATAATACTAAATGCTGTGACGAGTTTTTATGAGGATAGTGAGGCTCAGTTTAGGGTGTGTAGGAGAGAGGGAGATTATTTACCAGTCAAAGTAGGTCTTGGACAGGGATGTGTAATGTCACCATGGTTGTTTAACATATTTATTGATGGGGTTGTCAAAGAAGTAAATGCTAGGGTGTTGGAGAGGGGTGGGATTTAATTATGGGGAATCAAATACAAAATGGGAGTTGACACACTTTTTGCTGATGACACTGTGCTTTTGGGGGAGTCTGAAGAAAAGTTTGAAAGGTTAGTTGACGAGTTAGGGAGGGTGTGTAAAGGTAGAAAGTTTAAAGTGAATATAGCTAAGAGCAAGGTAATGAGGGTATCAAACAATTTAGATAAAGTAAAATTGGATATCACATTGGAGGGAGGGAGTATGGAAGGAGTGAATGTTTTTACATGTTTGGGAGTTGACTTGTCAATGGATGGGTTTATGAAGGCTGAGGTTAACCATAGAATTGATGAAGGAAAAAAGGTGAGTGATGCATTGAGGTATCTGTGGAGACAAAAAACATTATCTATGGAGGCAAAGAAAGGAATGTATGCGAGTATGTTGGCACCAACACTCGTATGGATGTGAAGCATGGGTTGTAAATGCTGCAGGGAGGACACGGTTGGAGGCAGAGATGTCCTGTCTAAGGGCAGTGTGTGGTGTAAATGTGCAGAGAATTTGCAGTGTGGAAATTAGGAGGTGTGGAGTTACTGAAAGTATGAGATGATTTTTGTTATTTAGAAGGGAACAAAGAATAACCTGCAGAGCATATTAACCTGTAGGGGAAGGAAGGCGGGGTAGGGGTTGGCCCTGGAAAGGGCCAACCCCTCGTCAGGTCCCAAATACTATTCGTCTCCATTCACTCCTATCTAACATGCTCACGCATGCTTCAATCAAATCAAATCAAATTAAAGTTTATTCTTTAAAAGGATTACAATGTGGGGTTTACAGATTTTGGCTGTGTGGTTTACATGTAATA